GAGTACTGGTGGAGCCTTGTATACATACGGAATGGGGTATGAAGGAATGATTGGTTCAACTGTTGTCAGCAGTGAGAATCATGCAGACCCTGCTATCTTCAAGGCTACAGATAGACCTAGTGTATATCCTTTTCTTGTGATGATGTGCTCTTGGTAGCTGCTGTGAATGTCATGTCCTGAAATTGAGACCCTTTTTCAAAAGTGGTGGCAGTTGTATTGAAGGACTGCTTTAGTGACCCAATAGCCCTCATTCAAAAGCATGTGACTTTGTCCTTATCATCATTTGTATGCATCCCTGAAGTAACAGCTTATGTGCATCTGTTCACCTGCCCACAATGTCATCTCTAATAAGCCTCTTGACTTTTGGACTAACTTGTGCATCATCATAAGCATCATCATCATACACTGCTAAATTAAGGTCTCATTTAAATGCCACTTCATCCTATCCTGAACTTCTCCAATACATTTGACTCCATCATAGCTTCTTATTTCATTACTTTTGTTTATTTATCCCATTTGGACATATCCCCTCTTTGTACCATTCATTATGTCAAGCACTGGGATCATTCACTCTAGCCTGCCATAATGTGAACTCTAGACTCCTTCCTAAGACAAAACTGCATGAATCATAAGTTGATCATGTTATTTGTGTATGTTGAGCTTGTTGCAAGTGTTAAGTCTCTTTTTTTTCTTATTCTGTTAAGCTGATAGATGCAGAGATCAATCCTCATGTGGATAAGTGGGAGAGAGAGAAGAATTTTCCGGCTCACCATGTCTTCAAACTGATGGGGAATGCAGGCCTCCTTGGCATCTGTAAACCCAAAGGTGCTTTTCCTTGTTCTTCTGTCTCATCCATTTTTTATTTTAGGAAAGGGCTTATTTTATTCTCTGTCAGGTGAACGTCCCATTCCAGTTTATCTCCTGTAAGAAGCCAAGCTTAATGCTAACTTAATGGTAACTCCAACAAACTACAATAAATGAAACTATTCAAATTTCCTTCATAGCAGCCATCATAATCCTTGTGTCCATGGATTCTGATTTTACACTCCTTTTGGGTGGCATTCTCCCAATTGGTGCATTTGCACTCTGTGAAGATAGAATATCCCCCTTTTTTTTAACACTATCAACCATCTAGATCTGGGGTTCCTAACCAGTGGTGCCTGCACCCCCAGAGGTAGGCAGTGGATGCAGGGGGTGTGTAAGGAGAAAAAGGTTAGGAATCCCTGGTCTAGATGCAGTTATGTTTTCATCTAGAAGCAGTTACCTGCAGTTATCATGGAATACCATAAGATTTTGATGCTCATATTTTTGTCTGAGAAGTCAAAATGTTAACTGTGCAGTTTTCCTGGGTCCTGAGTGGAGGAAAAAAGTGTATTGGATCATTCTTGAATTGCTTTCTGTTCTTATGGATGATTCAACCTGGATGAACATATTCTAAGAACTTTTCTAGAATCATTCCTCTGCTGTTTATTCAATATTCTGATGGTAGTAGCAGTGGTCATTGAGAATCTGACTCCCACAGAATATGGTGGCCTGGGTCTGGACTATTCTTACAACATAGCTTTCAATGAGGCACTGGGACATATCAATTGTGGGGGTATTCCTATGGCAGTCGCTGTCCAGACAGACGATGCCACACCTGCCCTTGCTCGGTGAGTTCATACTCCAGTAAATGGCAAATCATCACACAGGCAATTTCAGTTCTTACTTCAGACATGCTTCAGTCACAGATTTTTGTTGTAGAGTTCTTCCCTTCCCTGCCATTGACCTAAGTACTGAATGGGAGAAAACCCACTGGTTGACCCTTGACTGAGCACCAAGCTAAAAGTCAATTAATGAAAAAATATGCCAAAAGTCAATAAAAAGTTAAAATATATTCAGTGACTAACCCTGTTCCAACCACTAATCCAAGTGAAAGCTCAGACAGACAATTCCTCAATTGAATTGTGACTGACACTACAAAGTAGGATTTCAACTTTGCATTTCTGTTGATCATGAGATGCATATAGCGCTTTTATGTCAAGGTATGCATATAATGTATTTTCATAGGTTGAAACCATTATTAGTGTTGAAGAATTGTTTTGTATTTATTCAAATTGTGTTCATTCAGTGATGGGCATCACACCTTCAAATTTTACTCATGCTTTTATTAATATGGAAATAGTAGTCAAATGGAAGCAGTTGAACTTCTCCTTTTTGCCCCTCCCCCCTGTATATGCCCATTGTTTAAATTTCCATGTCAAAATGATTATTTTAAGGGTTGAGTTCCCCTTTCCCAATGTCACGATGGGCAAAAGCTTCCTTTATCCTCCCAGTCCTCGTGGTTCAGTCACAGGATATTTAAATGAGGGTATGAAAAGCTGCCATATCAGAATCAGAATCCTATTATCTTTGGAGGTGGACATGAAAAATTAATTATGTTTATGGGTTGTGAGGTAAGGGCCAGACTTTGCATGCAGGTTGGTTGGCCATATAGATATGAATCAACAATGAAGAAGTAAGGGTGTCTATGGATGTCTTTTCCATATATCCTGACATCTGAATGACATCAATTGATACTGTGTTTGTGATATGTTAAGTTGGTCTTCCATTTCCAGCTTTGGGAGTGACAAGTTGAAGAGGGAATTCCTGGCTCCTGCTATCTCGGGTGATGTCGTGACATGCCTGGGTGTGAGTGAACCTCACGCTGGCTCTGATGTTGCTGCCATCAAGGTAATATTGTTATCAATGAAGTTGATAACACTCCAGTAGAAGATATGAGCTTAGCAGACTTTGCCATTCAAAAATAGGGTTTGGAAGCTACTTGTGATGGTGTTCTCAGAGTACCCATTTGATCGCTCATTGATGATATTATATCAGTGTGTAATATTATTACATTGAGTGCCTGGAGCACTAAGGACTAGGGATGCACCGATACTGATCCAAAGTATCGGTATTGGCCTATACCTTTATAGCCGATCCGATCAGATTCTCCCTCACCGCGCGCCATGCTTAATACGCAGCGCATAACTTTTTGGAACGTCTCATGAAAAAAACCACACTTGTTATAGGATTTGATTCCTTACGTCCATCATGGTTTTTTTTTTAATCTCCAATTGATAGACAATGAGCTTGAGCATGGTTAAAGTGGAATGCGAGAGATTTGAGAAGGGCATTGTACAAATGGAATGGGCCAGTGTCATTCACATGCACATTCATTCCTTCACTTTCCCCCTTTCTGTCTTATCTCCTGCCTTCCTGTGCTGACTGGTTGGTGCAGGCACACTTTGTGCTTACATCCTCTGGCTCTCCCCTCGAGCACCGATCCCGGTTGTACAGTAGTTGCATTAACTCCTTAATCCCTTAAGGACATTATACGTAGTTCCTACCAGTACTCCTCTTCGCACCGATCATCCTTTATACGTAGTACTTACGTCCTATGCATTCTCAGCGGGGGGAAGTTTTAGCCTATGCTCAAGAAGCAAATATGTTGCTGGCATAAATGTCTCCAAAGCTAAATAAATGACAGGAACTTCAAATGCTGGGTCATTACTGTCTGAGGATTTTTTATTTATTCCCTTCTATGCCAAAGGTAGCATAAGGCCTACTAAGGTCTCGTCCTGTATTGTGGCTTCATTTCTGACAGCCACTGGGAGCTATCTGGATCGGTATCGGTATCAGCTAATCCTGGATCGATGCATCCCTACCAAGGACTGATCTTGTGAACATACATATAGGTTTTATATTAATGATGCCATCTCTTTAGACAAAAGCTGAAAGGAGTGGAGATGACCTTATAATCAATGGGACAAAGCTGTGGATAACAAATGGAGCTCATGCTGATTGGATATGCCTCCTTGCCAATACCAGCCAGGGTCCCCCACACAGAAGCAAGTCTCTCATCTGTGTCCCCATGAAAACCAAAGGTACATACTTCTAGGCATATGTTGGCCCTGCATACCAGCCAAAGTGATGGTCCTTTCTATGGCCCATTTCTGCTTCTGCTGGGTGGAAATTTTTCAAGAATACTTTGCAGCCTAATTTTTTACAAGCCAAATTCTTGTAATATCATTGGCAGTACTTCATAGGGACTGTGCTCAATGGCCTGTTGTAGCATTTTTGAACTGATGGGAAGGTCATACTTTCAGGCTCTTTTGTTACTTTACTTTTGTTACAGGCTCCATACTACAGTTGTACTAATGCATCAACAACCATTAGAGTGTTGATGTGGCTTTATCTGCATCTTGAGCAGGTTTTTGCTCCATGCTGCTTTGTGCTATCATCCCTGTCCCCCCATGTAATAAAGCAAAGAGAGGAACATGTGTGGGCATATGTGATTTGATATCATGCCCCCTGTCTCATTTCTGAGAGAAGGTAATGATTTTTGGCCTAGAGGGAAAAATAATTAATGTATTACTTACCATGAGTAGCTCTCTCTTTCACACTTTTCAGCTGAGACCAAGATTGAATGATGGCACTGGACTGATTTTCCCTTTCATGTCCAAAAAAACATTGGATCCTCATTGCATTCAAGACCTGCAAAGTTACATTAATGAGGATGAGAGAAGCCTTTTAAGAGATTCATTTACATGCAGGGTTGTTTTTTTTTTGTTACAGGAGTGCAGGTGGTAAAAAGGCTCGAGAAGCTCGGGATGCACTGCTCAGACACGACCCAGATCCACTTTGATGATGTTCGAGTCCCTGCAGATCACATCATTGGGGATGAGGGAATGGGCTTCATCTATCAGATGCTCCAGGTATGACATGTCCCCACTCTGCCACAGCTCCTTTACTCGCTTGTTCCCAACCCGTTCTGCACTCTTTGGACAGCAGCTAAGTTTGGCAAACCCAGTTCAGTAGGTTGCAATAACCATACCTGTGTTTGATAAGTTGTGTACTGACTTTTCAACACACTTACATGTGCAAAGGTTGTTACCTATGAATTTGGGGGGACCATGTTTCCAGCCATAGAGAAGCATTCAAATCATGCAAAACATTCATAGTTACTGTAGTAGATGAACTGTTATTGTAGTTCCAGGAGGAGAGGCTGGCTGGTGTGGCGCTGACACTCCGGCCAATGGAGAAGTGCATCCATGAGACTATCGAATACACACGACAGCGCCGTGCCTTTGGGCGCTCCATCTTGGACAACCAGGTCGTCCATTTTCGCCTGGCCGAGCTCTTGACGGAGGTTGAGGCTCTCAGGGCCCTCCTTTACAGGACTGTTGGTGTGTTTTTGCCTTATGCATTTCAAAAATCAGGATTTAAGGGTGCATGTTTATGGGGGGGGCATGTGATTGCATTATGTCTCATCATAATTTCATAGTGGAAAATCAGATTGGTTATTTGGGGGAGACCTGAGTATTGGAGACTTTTAAGGACTGTCACAGTTATGTTCTATGAGTAGATAGATGATGTAGGATTGCTCTTCTTTCAGACTTGTACAAGGACGGGAATGACACGACACAGCTGGCTTCCATGTGCAAGTTGAAGGCAGGTCGCCTGTGCCGGGAGGTTACCGACTCGTGCCTTCAGTATTGGGGTGGGATGGGGTTCACGGACGAGGTCCACGTGAGCCGCTTCTACCGGGACTGCCGGGTGATGTCCATTGGGGCTGGCGCCGATGAGGTCATGCTTTCCATCATCTCCAAGTACATGGGAACTCTCCCTGCTCCACCCAAGACAAAGTAAGCTCTTGGGTGGCACCCAAGAGGCACCTATCTATCCAGGCATCATTATTCTGTCATATGCTTCTGACTTCAACGATGAAGTAATGCCTCGATGGGTTTGTTTTCATTTTCACTTTTCCATCACAATCGTTGAATGTCTTGGTTTCCTTGAGAGGGTTTTACATGAGTTTTCACTTTCTTCAAAGGACATTGCAAGTTTTTCATACTGGCACATTTTACATACTGCTCTTGTAATTAGTGGGGGCAAAGTGGAAAAAAAATTTTTTTTCAGAGGTGGATTATGTGAAAGTATGAGTAGTACAACACAAAAGTGCAAAGTGGACGATTAAAGAGAAATAAACAATTAAATGTATGTTTTGTATATAATGAACTTAAGGAAATATTGTATAAGGAAGGAAAGGGAATAAATATTTTTGTAATTGTGCATATCAAGAAGAATTTCATTTATGTTATGTTGATTCTGCTTTCTCTATCTTCACTAAAAGTGATGATGGTTGTATCAAAAATTTTACAGGCAGGAAATATGTTTCTTTATTCTGAATAAAAGGATATCTTTATTAATCCCCTTACCTGTGTAATTTTTTTCTGCTAATCCTTCTCCCACTGTGTATTTTTTTGGAAATGCCCATTTCTGCACTGAAATGTACTTATGTTTCTCTCTAGTTTATTGACATGTGGTACAAATATCATTTTGTCATGTCAATGTAGAATGTTTTTACTTTCCAAAGCATGCAATACCTTCTTTGCAATTACCCTTTTTGAGCTGACACACAACTTGGTGCTGCAAGAAAAAGTTGTTGTGCCAATGCACAACAGCTCCGCAATCTCCAGCGTTCAGAGCATAATATTTGTACCAGCACAGCATGAAAACTGAGCAGGTATTCTGGGGCATAATTGCACAGTAGTGGAACGATTAGCACGGCCATAATAATATGCCCTGCACAGGCAAGAGGTTAAGAATTAATGGTAAGAGCATTCACACTTGGCAAAATCACATCCAATGTTTTTAGCAATGTTTTTTGTTGATGTCTGACCCATTTTGTAATTTAATATTGTGCAGTTTTGTTGCAACCTTGAAGGCACCACATTCATTATGCATTTATATGGGTGTTTTTCATGCCAAGTTGAATCCTCTGGGATACTTGGAGTGACATCGTTTGAAGAAAAGAAATTTTCCACATTTTTCTTCTTGGCCCATAGAAACAAGTTTTTGTCGCATGTCTAATGAGACATGAAATGTCATTCCTTTTTGCGGCAGGGATTTGAGCCCTTTAATGCTGGAACTACCAGGGCAGTCGTTTTGACTGCTGGCTGATTTTTAGTGCACTTTGCTCATCTCGCTACTAAGAGCCTCTACAGTTTTTACTTTTCTTATCTAATTAGACATTTTGAACATTTTAATATTTGGGACATACCAAATAATATCTGGAAAAGACAAATACCATGTTACAAAATAATAGGAGTGTACTACTACAGGTCAAATTGACTACTTTGGTAGTTCTAGTGTTAAGAATAGAATACACTGTACTTTTTTTAGAATGCAGGATTCTCATTGCCTATATTCAGTAAGATGACTGCTCAAAGTGCTGACCACCCAACCTATTAACAAAAGAATTTAGTCTCCCAAGCATTCCGCTTATCCAAGCAAAATCTTCATGCCTTCACTGCAGTTGCTTCAAGGGTGAACCGAGTCATAGGTCGTTGCTTCGGACACGATTTCGAGACTCGTGTGCGGTCAGTGAAAGCCCCCTGCACAGGATTTGAGGAGTTGAGACTTAAGAGTGTAGGAAGGAAAGAGCCCAGTTGCAAAGTGGAGATGAATGTTCCAATTGCATCTTATAAGATAAGAATTCTTGACTGAGGTGAAGAGGATTGTTCAAGGAAGGAGGACATAATAGTCACCTGTGGAGAGGGGCAGATAAACTGATAGAGAGCCACCAATGGTCTCATCCCTCTGTAAAGAGAGAGAGAGACCATTTTGCTGAGGTCTCCCTCATTTGGGAAAAGAGATTATCTGTGGATGTCAGCACTATTTGGAGAGAGTTTCCATGTCGTCTTTTTGTGCTGATGGAAAAAGCATTAGAGGAAATCACAGTTGGTAGGAGATTTGCGACAATGTGCAAGATTGGAAGGTCGTTGGGGAGTCGAGCAAGCAAGTGTTGCTACCTCCTATTGAGAGCATCTTTTTCAAGGTTCATTTCTTAGATAAGCTGCGGGAGAAAGTAATTGCATCTGGCCTGAAAGACAATGAGGGAAGAGGACAAGAAAGCTCTGAAGAAGTTGGAGGAATATAATGCTGGCTGATGCGGTGCTTTCCGCGATGCCGCACGTATATATCCTTTTCACGCGATGGAAAGATATGCTTTGGCCTAAGGTTGGAAGATAGCCACAGAACTGCCACAAATTGGACCAATGCTTCCTGAGTCCCAGTCAAGCATGATAAAAGGCTGTACTTACAGTAAGGGGGATTACTCAGGAATGCAAGAACTTGTCACTATTCAAGTAGAAGGAATGTAGAGTTACACCGGATGAGGCAACACCCAAAAGGGTCGAATCGGGACACCAAGAGACACGGCTGTGGCACTGCAGTCTGGCAAAGGCACATCCAGGTGCCCAGATCTGTGTAGTACAATCAGCCCGACACCCGGGGAAGGTTTAGTAGACTGGGTTCTGCTATCTCCAAAAAAAGGGGACATCTCTGTTCATCCAGTTGCAGCTGTAGCTTCTGAACAGACGTTTCCCCATATGAATTTATTGTATGCAACTGGGAATGCATATTGCATGAGGGAGATGCATCTTCATGGATCGGAATGGAATAACACTGCAATCGGCTACATGGGGGAAAAGTCAGCTGTAAACATTCGATCATTTGATCTCACCCAGTCCAGACTCGGGTCAATGTGTGTCATTGCATTCCTCTTCTGGGTTCTTGGAAAAGTGTGTGGTTTTCTTGAATTTGTGAAGGTATCAATGATGTCACAGTTCCCCAGGATACTCCTCAAAAATGACCTGAACCAACGAAAAAGGGCATCATGCCAAATAACAGGAGTTTCGCTTCAAAATCAAACTTGGGAGTTGAAAATGCATCAAGTGGAGAAACCTTCACTCACAAGCAGCAGAGAATCCAAGCAGGTCACTTGGAGACACGCCTTCTGAGTGATCGAATCGCATCAAACTTTGCCAGTTCTGCACTGATGTATTGGAGCAACCTGAACCAGCCACTTTTTGTCAGTAAATACACATGAAATGAAGAGTAGGAAATTCTCAAATAAAAAAGTCATTAATAACCTTAAGATTGGCTCCTTTCTGTAATTTAACTGAATCTCCTCGCCTTTTTGTGGAACTTCAGTTATGGGCAAAGCAGCAAGATTGTGCTTGGGTCTTGCAGGTTCTCTTTCCAGCAGAAATTTCCCTTTTTTACTATTGCTATCTGGTATCATAACATTTGGTAAAGAAGTATTTGCAGTCAATTATGGCAGAGTTCAGACAAGAAGAATGCAAAAAAAGAGGTGGATATTAAGAAAATTACATGTTGCATCTCCTGTTGGTCAGCCCTGGAACTCTTGACCTTTTTATATACCAGTACCAATCTTGATCTTTTTATACACCAGTACCAATTCCAAAATGCCTGAGGGAATGGAATTCCCAGGTCTTCTTGATCGATGCAGGTCAAAACCGATGAATTTCATGAACATTGACCCATTAGCCCTGCTGATTGTTTAAAAATGTTTCTCTAAATATTAACTTTTTTAATATTTAAATATATATATATATATAATACATGCTGAATTCCTCCCAGGAAAAATGCTGACGAGAAGGAGCAGACGACTGGTGTCATCGGCTCTCAGCGCAGCCAAGCGGGAGCTGCAGACCGGCCGCTGGCAGCGGGCCGCCGTGTCCCTGCGGGACGGATTCTACTCCGAGGACCATAAAGCCTTGCAGGAATCTGTTGTCAAGGTACCTGGAGCTTCACAGAGCTTGAATAATATATATATTTAAGAATATATAATATGTACAACCCAGATGATTGAAATGCAAAGTGAGATGAAACAAAAAGACAAACTATTTTTAAATATATAAATATATGTTTAAATATATATTTATATATGTATTGCATTTCCCAACTAGATGGAAATGAGAATGGAAAATGGTAATGTTAGAATTTGAGTTTGATAAGAATGGAAGAAAAATATATATTGCAGCCTAAAATGTGGTTGGACATCACTTGTGGGAATGATGCTACAAATACTATTTATCCTGGATTCTTCATGTGCAAAACAATATTCCATTTCCATCTAGCTGTGACGGCATCGACCATTTCATGGAAAAAAAATTGCAGAAAATTTCAGCCATGGAATTGAATTTGGCATTTTTCTTTTCGGAGCTGATAGACGCCGAGGTGAACCCCCACGTGGACGAGTGGGAGCGCGGGAAGGACTTCCCCGCCCGGCGGCTCTTCAAGCTCCTGGGCGATGCGGGGCTGCTCGGCATCTGCAGGCCGGAAGGTCCGTTCCCTTCCTCTGCTTTTTCTGCAATGAGATGAAGTCGGGCAAATTCTGTATGAGGAGTTGGTCCTGTGTTCCTGTTTGCACTCTTACGAGGTTAAATGATATTCAAGTAAGATTGACTGCCTTAAGCAGTTTGCTTGGGATGTTCAGATGTTGATGCTTGTTTTTTTTTTTTTGTCTGACATTTCTTTCCAAATTTGCAGTGATTCTGTGTACTGTAAAAAGTTCTCCCTTTCATGGGCAAGAGGGGTTATGGGTGAGAATTTGTAATGTCTTGCAGCACTTTATATCTGTACAATTGAGTGAACCTGGACGATTGCATCGTAGTTGCCAATTTGCCTGCTCTTGCTATGTAGTCACTTTGTTTCACTCCTGCGAATGTGCATGCTGCGGTTCCAATGGTCATCGAGAATGTCACTTCCGCAGAATACGGTGGCTTGGGGCTGGACTATTCGTACGGCGTAGCGTTCTACGAGAGTCTGGGGCACGTGAACTGCGGGGGGATCCCCTCGGCCGTCTCCGTCCAGGCCGACCTCGCCACGGGCGTCCTTGCGCGGTGAGTCGGTCGGACGTCTGGCGACCGATTGCAGAGGCCGCTCGAGGTTCCGTTTCGGTTCCTGCTGCCGTCTCGGTCACGGCTTCGCTCACTGTGGACAGCCTGTCCGGGAGACAACTCAGTAGATGTGACAGAATCGAAATGGTTAAGGAAAGCAAACACGTCTTCATTGGCAAGTCATTTAGATTCAACGTCTGGCCTGCCTAACCACAAAAGAGCATGTTCCTGGCACCATGGACTTTGCCCAACCCTCTTTTCGAGCATTGGGCTCAACAGCAGAGCTCAACAGGACTGCTGAATTTCCACGACTGTGACCATTATCCAAAACGAAGCACCACTTTACACATGTGATTGACACTCACTCTCACGCAAGGTGTTCAAAAATAAAAGGAAAGTATATAACTTCAGCCCTTATCCAGATTTCCCTTGTCAATTCTGGCATTAATGTTGAATCCACCAAATTTGCATCAGTCTTCAGGAGCCATTGCCTCTCCTTAATAGAGCCACATGCTGCTCCAAGTCTTTCATGCAGGCTTGCTCATAAAAATGCTGAGAAGAGATCAAATTTTTCTTTTATTATCTGTTCATTAAAATCAAATCCTAGTTTGTCGTTCAAGACTGGCATCAGCCCTGCATTAATTCTCTGCAACTAGTGGATTCTGTATCATTATGAATTTGCATCTGTGCCTGGCAAGTGTATCTGATGTAGTGAAGGCTTAATGGTGGCCATCCCAAGGTCAAGGTCAAGGTCGTAGAGATCCGGCCCTAATAGAACGTCATTGTTGCCCAGTTCCCAAAGAACCAGCCCCTGTTTTCTGAGATCGTCCTAACCAGGCTCCCCCTTTTCAGGTTTGGATCCGAGAAGCTGAAGAGGGCGTTCCTCGCCCCTTCCATCTCGGGGGATCTCATCGGGTGCCTGGGCGTGAGCGAGCCCCATGCTGGCTCCGATATCGCTGCCATCAGGGTAATTTTGTCCATTTTTTGTTGAAGGTACCCGAGTGGTTGTGGATTTGATCGATTTGAATTTGTATTTTTGGTTTCTGGACTGGGGTTTTCAGGGTATACCTGGTTGATCTGAGTAATTACTACTGTTTTAGTTTTTTAAAATATTTTTTAGTGCTTTTGGTTGTCTATGAGCCTGTGGCACTAAAGATAGTCTTCTCGTGGACGTACGTTCATTTTCTATCCTCGGTGCTGTATTATTTAATGGTTCCTTCAGACGAGAGCGGAGAGGAGAGGAGACGACCTTACGATCAACGGGACGAAGCTGTGGATCACGAACGGGGCCCATGCCGACTGGATCTGCCTCCTGGCCAACACGGGCCAGGGTTCCCCGCACGGGAACGAGTCCTTCGTCTGTGTCCCCATGAAAACCAAAGGTTTTTCGTGCTAAAACGTGCATGCTGGTATATCTACAACGGTGCCAAAGCGATTTGGCAGCATTCTCTGTGAAGTGGGCATGCTCAGAATTGAGCTATCAAGTACCCTGGAAAAAAGCACCTCTCTGTTCATTTCTGTGGAATTTTCCTAGCTTTTCTCCTCATCTTTCTTGTAAATGCTGATGTGATGGAAGGCCATCATAGCACCACTAGATTTCCTCAGGAATCGCATGGGCTGCGTGACAGCTCTCCAGAATGTATTTTATTTAGGCGGGTGGTTCCCAAACTCCTGAATGACTCTGAGGTTCCAGGTCTGTCCTTGGTTGGGGTCCGTTACCCTACAACAGGACTATTGTACTTTGTTTGTTCACCAGAGGACTGTTCTATGGTAAACCTAGGTGATGAATATTTTGGATCAAAGATATGCCAATACGGATGCATGACTGCTGATCATTACTGCTGTACCCGTTCCATCTTTGGGCACTCTGACCGTTCCTCTTCATCCTCTGGGAGTTTAGTTTCTGGCAGAGTTGCCAATAACTTACCGGTAGCCATGACATGTCCGGGCTTTTCCTTACCGTAACGGTGCATTCTAGGGGGACTGCCTGTATCCGAGACCCAAAACGAGAAGTTAACGTCGGCCACGAAGAGAGAAGCCGGTGCAGAAATCATAATGTCATCATAATATTAGAAAGTTCTTCATGTCGCAGGGGTGGAGGTGACGAAACGGATCGACACGCTCGGGATGCACGCCTCGGACACGACCCAGATCCACTTCGACGACGTTCGAGTTCCCGCTGATCACATCGTTGGGGAAGAGGGAATGGGCTTCATCTACCAGATGATGCTGGTATGACCACTAACTATGCATTGGTTCCTATCACTTGTGTTTGAAGCATCAGTCTCTCCCCAAAGAAAGAAGTGGATATTATTTGCTTGCACATGCAAGCGGAACTCGTGAAGCCCAGCGGTTGCTCGAGATGGGTCTGATGGGTCTAATTTTGCTTGAGATGGGTTGTGTTTCATTGCCTGATGAAACATTAAAATCTACATATCTGGTCATGACTGCCACTCTTAATTTTGTTGGTTTTTTTGGTGGTAAAACAAATGTTTTAAAAAAACTGGTAAAGCTTCAAAGTGGAATTGCTGAAGTCATGGAGGTGGAGTGACTAAGCCAGAGAGGAAGCAAAGGACTTTAGTTTGCCGTTGCTTGAACACCCAATGCCAATACTTGTGATGATTTGAGAATGTTCAAGTACCCTAAGTTTGTCAAAAATGAATTCAGTTTGCATCGTGCCGAGATGCCAACGATGCACGTCGATGTTTGCAGCCATCGAGGTGACGCATTTGAGTGTCTACCCCGCAGAATGGTAATTTTCCTTGGTGCTAATTTTGTGTCCCATTAGATGTTAATTTCTGATGATTCAAATGAGATAATAGTCATGTCGATTTAGATCGTTTCCAGTAAATGGTAGCAGTCTTGAAAGAAAACCATGCAGACTGTTGAAAGGCAAGAGATATTTCCCCATCTATTTCCCGATTTGGACTTTTTGTTGGCAAACGGTGAAATCTGAAGGCAACAGGTTGCACAAAATGGATCGATCTGCTTTGAGAATGGAATGCACATGAGGAAAATGCACATGCAACGACACCTGTTGCATGTGAAAATGGAACTTGCTGTTTTTATTTAACTGAAAAAATCTCAGGGGCAAATGTGTAACAGTGAAAAAATCATTCTTTCAATGAGGGTGATGTCCTCGAGAGTGTATTGTTTAACCATGACATCTGTCTTTCTCAAACTTAGGAATGCTAGTTTTTTTCCCAGGGCTACATTTAGTTCCACTCAAGTAGGAAATACTTAAACAAAATCCAATACCTTAACCTGCTATGGTCATATGCAATGCACATGAATTGAGTGAAGTAGGAGATCATGCAACTTCGATTCAAAACCTTCAATGCTAAAGTTGGTGTGCAAAATTCAAATTAATGCCATATTTTGTATAATTGACATAGCCAGAAATATACTTGTGGAGGGGGTTCTGTCTCAAAATGAAACTCAGCAGCTGAAGGGTTCATCTATATCTGGATTTATATCCACATTTGTGGTGCTGTTGCTCCTCACTGCAACATGCCACTTTCCCATTTTGTAATTTACACGATCACGTGCACCACCTTGTCACGGTCGGCTGGCTTTATTTTCTTTTACAGTCTCAGGAGGAGAGGCTGGCGAGCGTGGCCCTGACGCTCCGGCCAATGGAGAAATGCGTCCAACAGACCGTCGAATACACGCGACAGCGCCGAGCCTTCGGTCGCTCCATCTTGGACAACCAGGTCGTCCACTATCGCCTGGCCGAGCTCTCGACCGAGATCGAGGCGCTCGGGGCCCTCCTCTACGAAACTGTTGGTGAGTCCTCGGTTTACTGAGTTCTAAAAGCAGGATTCACTCTTTATACCATTTTCAAAATCCATCCTATAAGTTCTATGTATCCCAAAGTCTATGAGATGGTCTCTTTTGCTCTTCAACCTGCTCCAAGTTTCATGTTCCATTGAAATGACTATTGAGAGACTGTTTTCATCAGACTTATACAAGGAGGGGAAGGACACAAACCAGCTGGCCTCGATGTGCAAGCTGAAGGCGGGTCGCCTGGCACGGGAGGTGACCGACTCGTGCCTCCAGTACTGGGGCGGGATGGGGTTCACGGACGAGGTCCACGTGAGCCGCTTCTACCGGGACATGCGGCTCATGTCCATCGGCGGTGGAGCCGACGAGATCATGCTCACCATCATATGCAAGTACATGGGAACTCTTTCTGCTCCCCCCAAGGCCACTTAAACACACATATATGCCCTTGATGGTGCAATCGCTCATCCTGGGATTACAACTGTCCAAATCCAACTCTTTTGTGAGCACTGCCAGGTTCATTTTCATTTTTAATAATTATGTTGTATCTTGTATTAATGTTTTGAGATATGCTGCTCCCGGCTCCCATTTATTCAAAAAGGCTAGAATTTCTTCTGGTTTAAGAAATTTATGATACAAAATTGGGAAAGCATTCAGGGATTGGATTGACTGCACAAGTAACATAATACCAAATGAACAGTGTTAGAAGTAGAAGAAACTGGAAAATGTCTAAGGTATGTGAAGTAGGAAGGGGAGAATATTACATGGAAGAAATTGAATAAACATTTTTATGCTTGTATTTTTCACAAAGAATTTGGTTTTCGCTCAGTTAAGTCCATTTTAATATTTTAATATTTTTCACTAACAATTGGATGACGATGGTGACACCAGACCATTATAGTCATGAGCTCTCAATACTTTTGAACACCAAGGTGTTTTCGCCAGAAATCAATCTGGGATTTAAAATGGGCTCAGCTCTTCCTTTGGGGAGTTATGTCAGGCGATGAAAATGTCCTCTGGTGAGGCATCAATCTGATCATTTCTTGTGAAATGCCAGCTGTGAAAGCATCCCATGACATGCATTGGTTTCATTGTGCCACCTTGAAGAAATTAATTTAAAACAATGGTAATATTACCAAATGCATAATATCATCTGCCTGCTCCAGGTTATGCACCAAGGGTTGGTCAGTTGAACATTTCACGAAGAAAAGTCGTTAACTAACTTTGAATGCTTCATTTTGAGCCTTGCTTGCTGTGAGGAAGAAGGCGAGTCTCGCATCCTCAAAAGATGCTTAATCGATGACGAAAAGTCTGGTGAATCTAACATGTGCATCTCCAGTTGCTCACCTCGAATCCCTGTTCCGTTTACATTGCCGATTCCAAAGTGCCTGGGGGGGCTCGAGTTCCCTGATCATCTTGATCAATGCAGGCCAAAATCGCTCATCTTCGACATCGTGTTATTAGTTGCCACCCGTTTCAGCATCTAGCAATTTTTTTCGCCGCAAAGCCCAATCAAGAAGATGCTGGCGCGACGAAGCGGACGATTCGCGTCCTCGGTCCTGAAAATCACCGAGCGGCAGTTGCAGACCGGCCGACGGCAGCGGGCCGCCGTGTCCCTGCAGGACGGCTTCTACTCTAACGACCACAGGGCTCTGCAGGAATCCGTCATCAAGGTTTATGGGAACTTCATGTAACTGCTCTCAAGGAAAAAAAAAAAAAGTTATCAAATAAATGTCAACCCAAATAATAGATATATGGAGTAACTCTGGAAGGTATGAAGGGCTATCAAAAAGTTCTCTCACTTTTTGCTCCATCAGGTGTTCCTCTTGAAGCTGTGCCAATTTTCTATTTCAGATATGACAAATAACAAAAATTGCAAGAATAGGCTTGCACTTGAGGCTTTAGAGCCAATAGAGAGGCCTAAAAAATTTTAAATTTTGAAAAATTACTAAATTTGAAGCACTTGGTGGCATTTTTTTGACTTTACAGAAATCTTTCTCACTCATCCAAGATAATATGGTCTGGGAAGCACAATGCTTGCACAATATTGGATGGAGATATTTTTGCAAAAGCTGGCACCCTCTTCTTCAGGGCAGTGTGGAAGTGAAGTATTTTTTGAATGGAGCTTGTTTCATCCTTTAAATTGTTATTTTTTTAACCTAATCTTTCAAGCTGATAGACGCAGAGATCAACCCGCACGTGGACAAGTGGGAGCGAGAAAAGGATTTCCCGGCCCACCAGCTCTTCAAACGCCTGGGCGACGCAGGTCTCCTTGGCGTCTGTAAACCCAGAGGTGCGTTCCCGCTTCCCTTTCACGGTGGAGGAAGCGTGCATGCATTGCAGGGTTCACTTTTTGCATTGCTGCTTGCCTAAGTGAAGGAATGTCACTGCAATTGTTTTTTAGAGCGGAATTGCATCCCTTCGGATTGAATATCCCAAAGAATATCAGCTGACGGAAGGTAGTTATCATGTGGTACAGCGAGATTGGATTCCGAATTGAAGGTCTCGGAGGAACCGCCAAGAACAAAATTCTTGGTTTTTGCCTTTCTTCCCTTCCATTGGGCAAGAAGCATCTCGCGTTTGTCTTTCTCCTTTCGTGCATTCCGTTTGCAAGCGTGGGCCAACCCGAGTAAATGCAATATGGGCAATATATATATATGGGCAATAGTATGCGATACGTGCCTGATGTCAATGGTTACCATTAAATTGGCTGTCCCGCTTTGGCGAATATTCCTTTGAATCTCAAGCTTTTTCACGCTTGTATCTCTTTGAATATTGACTGCACCACTTTGAATAGTTCCTTCAGATCCATTGCAAGTGATCCACCTGTCTTTGTGTCATGTTGCATGTGCATACTTACTGAAATCTGGATTTTCCACTCCAATTAATAAAAATTGAAAACACAAAAATCGAATCGTCCTGAAATCCGGGCACGGGGAACACCGTGCAAGTGATTGTGATGATGTCATTTTCCCAGAATATGGTGGAATGGGGCTGGACTATACCTACAGCGTGGCGATGAACGAGGCCCTGGGACACATCGACTGCGGGGGGATCCCCATGGCCATCGCGGTCCAGACCGACGTCTCCACCCCCGCCCTGGCACGGTGGGTTCGGCTTCCGGCTGGCCGCGAGCGAGAACGGAAGTCTAGTGCGAAAATTCTCGCGATTGCTCGAGAGCTGCTCGTGTTTTGAGGAGTGGGCCGAGGCCACCCTGCGGCCAGTCTGTCAACTGCCAATATCAGCTGGAAAGCTCAATTGGACGATTTGATTCACAAGTTTGAGCTGTGAATCAACTTGATTCACAGCTCAAAAACAACAGAAGTGCCACCTGAGGTTTTCAGTCGACCTACTGTTGCCATTCGTGCTTACCTAGGTATTTGTATGTACTAGTGGGAGCCATTCCAAGCCTTCTGCAAGTTATTTGAAGCATTTAATGATATTTAACAGAAACATGATATCATTTAATGATATGTTTCTGGGATTGATTTAAATTTTTTTTGTGAGCTTCAGAGGTGGAAATTTAATTATCTTGTTGCAACAAAATTTATCTTAGGCAAACCTGAAGAAGTTACTTCCTCGTGGTACTCCTGATAAGGCATGCAGTATTATTCCCAGAATCAGCCATTTAATGCTATCATTTTCATGCAGAAATTCAATGCCCCAATATCAGCTGGCCGAAGCTCCAATACCAAATGTTATGTATTTGGTGGGACAAGTAGTGGATCTCCAACAGTAATTGATACAATTTCTTTTGGCTGATAATGATGCCAATAAAATATCCTTGTAGATCGTAACATAGACATTATTTTAGCGCTAGTATCGGTGCACATCGGCCTTTCGAGTTCGTCGAGGCGGAGCGAACGGTTGAGTTTGGTTGGTTCCCGCAGGTTTGGGAGCGACAAACTGAAGAGGGAATTCCTGGCCCCTTCCATCTCGGGCGATTACGTCGCGTGCCTGGGCGTGAGCGAGCCGCAGGCCGGTTCGGATGTCGCGGGGATCCAGGTGATGCTCTCGTTCCTTGCGTCGAAGCCGTTCTGATGGATCTGGACTTGATATAATTTAGCTGATGAAAGTAGAGCTTGAAAGGTGCCCATGATGCTGTTTTCCTGCATCAGCCCTGCAGCATGAACGAGCCATGAAGAAATTCTTGTGGAATTGTGTCATGTATGCACATTGGTGAAGAGAATCTAGAGCCCTTATCTAGTTACATTTTTTTTTGTATTTTAAATGTCGCTGGTTTAATGAGAGCAAGTCATCAACTGAGAAGCCCAGCCCACCGTCCAGGTGGAAATGACGCAGGATTCCTAGATCGGGCAGAATTGCATTCAAGGATGGTGTGATTCTGGTTTGTGGCGATCGTGCATAGAATAATTGATTCTGCGAGATCAGAGGCACGTTAAAATGTTCACTATGAGGATCCTTCATTAAAAAATAGCCCTACTCAAGAGCCCTGATACAATATCAAAATCTTTTCTACAGTATCTAGACTGTGTTTTAATAACCGTATTTATTGCTGAAAGGATATCTTGTTTCTACAGAGCAACCGAGCAATTTGTTCCTGTCGGTATTGGTCCCTCTGCTCAAACTTGATGTAATTTCTTTGTCTTGAATGTAAGGGCAACTCCTGCTTTCATAAGTCTATGCCATAATTTTTTTTATGGGACGACCCTGTCCTCCTTCACGAGTCTGACAACTGAGAAGGTGTCTAAACGTGCTTAAATTACCATTCCCCCACAGGTTAGGAGACTGCATCGACAAATTTATACTAGCCGTACTCACCAGATTTTATGTTTGGAGGAATCGGAGAACTACGATCTGAAACCGAGAATGCGCGTTTCGTTCAGACGAGAGCCGAGAGGAGGGGAGACGACCTGGTGATAAATGGGACAAAGTTGTGGATCACGAACGGGGCCCATGCCGACTGGATCTGCCTCCTGGCCGGCACCAGCCAGGGTCCCCCACATAAGAACAAGTCCCTCATCTGTGTCCCCATGAAAAACAAAGGTATGTGCATTTTGCCATCCACATCTTTTTGGAGACGGGTGTGGTTCCTGGTGGCCCTGCAGAGTACAGCACTTGCAGATAAATGCTCAGTGGGTTGCCCTTGTACTTTGTCGGGAGGGAAAGTTTACGGAGAGCAACCCCAATGAAGAGGTGCCACCTATGAAGGGATTTTTTCTTGTCGCAGGAGTGAAGGTGTCGAGGCTGAATAAGATCGGCATGCACTGCTCCGACACGACCCAGATCCACTTCGACGACGTTCGAGTCCCGGCAGATCACATCATCGGGGAAGAAGGAATGGGCTTCGTCTATCAGATGCTCCAGGTGTGACCCATGGCTGCACTGAAACCTTTCTGTTCTTGCCACTGCTCCCAGAGGCTAAAAAAAGATGGAAAATGGGCAGTGGGTTTTTTGTATGTTGCACCGAGATCAGTTCGTCACTGGTTCTGTTCCTTGGCATTAGTTTCTCCTATAAGAGTTTTGAGAATTCTGAGAATGAAAGCCTTAAAGGATAAAAACCTTAAAGAATTTTAAGATTACATGAAGCATCTCACCTCATATTACCAGATTCTCTTAAAGAATACTGATGCCTGAGTCGCTATTCATTGAGGGTCAAATTGTAAGCCAGCATCATAAATTTATAGATCTTAATGTTGACTCATTTATAGGATTTGAAAAATTGCAAGACCTTTCCAAAGAAAAATTCAGAGAGAAAATGTCCCATTTTCACTCATGCAGTCTGCATTCATTTTGCACCTAGATGACTGCAAATTACTTGCAGTTGGAGAGTTCCTTTTTTTTCTCTGATTATCTGCTTACATAGCAACATGCATGTAGAAGTCTCAACAGCTCGGCATTTATGCTCATAATGTAAAACATTTTTTCCTGCTACATATAAATCATGGCATGAAAAATTCCTCCAATCCATATATTGATGAAAAATGACTCTTCCACTGCAGTTCCAGGAGGAGAGGCTGGCCGGCGTGGCCCTGACGCTCCGACCCATGGAAAAATGCATCCGGGAGACGATCGAGTACACGCGTCAGCGCCGCGCCTTCGGGCGCTCCATCCTGGACAACCAGGTCGTCCACTTTCGCCTGGCCGAGCTCTCGACCGAGATCGAGGCCCTTAGGGCCCTCCTCTACGAGACCATTGGTACGTCAGGATCTTGTCGAACGTTTGCCTTCAGAATTTGGTGGGGAATGGAAGTAGAAAGTTTGTGACATCGAGCTGGTGCCAGAAAGAACAGGAGGAAATTTAGCGACACAATGTCTCCAGGAGTTTTGCAGCATTCCTCTCGATTGGGCTCACTCAGGAGTTGAGGGTAAGAATCCTCAGAAGAGGATGTCGTGTGGATCCTGCACCCAATCACACACCTCTTGCATCAATGTCAGTGAAAGCAGGGAATTTTAAAGGATTTATGTCATTGCTCCTGTAATTTTCTTTTCAGTATCAGCTGTGTGAGAAGCATGACTGCTGTTTGGACAGTCACAGAATTATTTCCAGTATGCCTTGTACTTCACCGCTTCAGCTCTTGCAGAGGGGCACTTTTTTTATCCCTAGCATTTCCAGACCTTCTTAATGGCATGTAGAGCAGCCCTAAGCCACTAAACGTTGAAGTCTTCAGATCCCAGCTCCTCGTGGTTGTGATTTGAAGCTGTTCCTGTGGATTCCCCACTGGTATTGAAGTCATCAAAGAGCATTAGAAGGAGGCAAGACAGAAGCCATTATTGCCCTCTTCGTGTTTGCACCCACTCTCTATATTCTTATTCCAGTTATTTCAAGATCTGCCAGGATCATTCCTATTTGCTGGACCTTCCTTTTGTTGACAAAGTACTGTAGGTTCTAGTGAGGAATGGGTCAGTCATACCAGTCGATTAAAAACCTGCCAATATTGGCCAGTCAAATGACCAGTCGATATGGTCATTTATGGTCAATGTGGCCAGGTATGGTGTTACACAAACTGCAACCAAAATTCGCCTTTGACGTACAGTTTCACGAATGCCATTGTCTGTGAGGAATTCAGAAGGTGAAGTCGGAAGGTGTAGCTTCTCCGATTTCAGTGAGGGGATTTTTTTTTACTCGGGTCAGAGGGCATTTGAAGCTCAAAGTTTAGACCTGGAGTATGATTTAGGACACATAAACTGGAGCTAAGCTGGAGATTCTAAAACAGCAGCTTGGACGTTGAACCCTCGCCTTGTAAATTTATAAGGTACCAAGGTGTCATCATACCCCAATAGGTGCCACAGCTCAGGCGATATGTGGGCTGAATGGGTATGACCTGAAAGATAGAACTGCCACAATGACTTTATTACTGAAAAATGTGTTACTGCTGTTTAGTGTACACTGAAAAAATCTTGCTTGAACGGGGTATGCAGAATGGCTTGTCATAGAGACTTAGGCTGACCATGAGCCTTAGTAGACATTGAGCTGCCTCAGAGGCCATCTATGGGATCAGGTCTTCAGGGACTGTTATTTGGTGTGATATCTAACCCAAGCAGGCCACTCCTTCCAGAGGGCGCTGTAATTAAAAATATCTCTCGTGTAGCATGGGTAATTATGTGTTGCAATTAAGGGAAGTAATGCATACTCTCATTTTGATTACAACAGATGTTTTTTAAAGGTCCACCATTAAGCAGCGACCAAGGATACCTTCAAGCAAATGATGAAAAATCTATGCTTGAGAAAAAAAACTCATTTCCCTATTTTATATGACATACCGATTCCCCCGCGTGTCAGTCGCTTTATTTGCCTTTAGAAGAAGAAAGAGTGATATCTCCTGCAGATTCATACAAGGAGGGGAAGGACACAACCCAGCTGGCCTCGATGTGCAAGCTGAAGGCGGGTCGCCTGTGCCGGGAGGTGACCGACTCGTGCCTCCAGTACTGGGGCGGGATGGGGTTCACGGACGAGGTCCACGTGAGCCGCTTCTACCGGGACATGCGGCTCATGTCCATCGGCGGTGGCGCCGACGAGATCATGCTCGCCATCATATGCAAGTACATGGGAACTCTTTCTGCTCCCCCCAAGGCCGCTTAAACACATATATGCCCATGATGGTGCAATCATTCATCCTGGGATTACAACTGTCCAAATCCAACTCTTTTGTGAGCACTGCCAGGTTCATTTTTATTTTTTATGATTATGTCGTATCTAGTATTAATGTTTTGAGATATGCTGCTCCCGGCAAAGCATTTATTCAAAAAGGCTAGAATTTCTTCTGGTTTAAGAAATTTATGATACAAAATTGGGAAAGCATTCAGGGATTGGATTGACTGCACAAGTAACATAATATCAAATGAACAGTGTTAGAAGAAGAAACTGGAAAATGTTTAAGGTATGTGAAGTAGGAAGGGGAGAATATTACATGGAAGAAAGTGAATAAACATTTTTATGCTTGTATTTTTCGCAAAGAATTTGGTTTTTGCTCAGTTAAGTCCATTTTAATATTTTTCAAAATTTGATGATGATGGTAACACCAGACCATTATAGTCATGAGCTCTCATTACTTTTGAATACCAAGGTGTTTTCGCCAGAAATCAATCTGGGATTAAAAATGGGCTAAGCCTTCCTTTGGGGAGTTATGTCAGGCGATGAAAATGTCCTCCGGTGAGGCATCAATCTGATCATTTCTTGTGAAATGCCAGCTGTGAAAGCATCCCATGACATGCATTGGTTTCATTGTGCCACCTTGAAGAAATTAATTTAAAATAATGGTAATTACCAAATGCATAATATCATCTGCCTGCTCCAGGTTATGCACCAAGGGTTGGTCAGTTGAACATTTCACGAAGAAAAGTTGTTAACTAACTTTGAATGCTTCATTTTGAGCCTTGCTTGCTGTGAGGAAGAAGGCGAGTCTCGCATCCTCAAAAGATGCTTAATCGATGACGAAAAGTCTGATGAATCTATGTGATATATGATGAATATATGATGAACATGTGCATCTCCAGTTGCTCACCTCGAATCCCTGTTCCGTTTAAGGTGCCGATTCCAAAGTGCCTGGGGGGACTCGAGTTCCCTGATCATCTTGATCGATGCAGGCCGAAATCGCTCTTCTTCGACATCGTGTTATTAGTTGCCACCCGTTTCAGCATCTAGCAATTTTTTTCGCCGCAAAGCCCAATCGAGAAGATGCTGGCGCGACGAAGCGGACGATTCGCGTCCTCGGTCCTGAAAATCGCCGAGCGGCAGTTGCAGACCGGCCGACGGCAACGGGCCGCCGCGTCCCTGCAGGACGGCTTCTACTCTGACGACCACAGGGCTCTGCAGGAATCCGTCATCAAGGTTTATGGGAACTTCCTGTAACTGCTCTCAAAGGAAAAAATATATATATTTATCAAATAAATGTCAACCCAAATAATAGATATATGGAGTAACTCTGGAAGGTATGAAGGCTATCAAAAAGTTCTCTCACTTCTTGCTCCATCAGGTGTTCCTCTTGAAGCTGTGCCAATTTTCTATTTCAGATATGACAAATAACAAAAGTTGCAAGAATAGGCTTGCACTTGAGGCTTTAGAGCCAATAGAAAGGCTTTAAAATATTTAAATTTTGAAAAATTACTAAATTTGAAGCACTTGGTGGCATTTTTTTGACTTTACAGAAATCTTTCTCACTCATCCAAGATAATATGGTCTGGGAAGCACAATGCTTGCACAATATTGGATGGA